GTAAATGCACAGGCGTGCCTCTGTACACCAAGTGAGGGCTTTTAGGTGACTGCACCTTGTCTCCTTCAAGGTTTACTAGAGATGTTAGGGGGGCTGGTTCATCCTGCTGTTGAAACTTTCCAATTTTTTTTTTTTTTTTTTGTATTTTAGTACAGGATCTACAGGGTCTCACTAGGTAGATCTGACTCATAGTGATCCTCCTGTTTTTAGCCTCCCCTGCGCCTGCCACCACAAAATCTTTCTGATACATTCTTATGTAACTTTGTCTTCTAATCACTGGAGTTTGACTACACAGGCAAAAGCTACTTTCAGTATGATCTTTCTAAATCAGATTTTATTGGTACATTTTATGTATTTTTTTTGTGTACCAGGGATCAAACTCTATTGGTACATTTTAGATACACATAGTGATCACATCATCACAGAGAATTTGTACCTGCGCCGGATTCTTTTATTTCCCAATTCCCCTACCATCCCTTCAACTCTTCTCCTTCCCATTTATAAATGTTTCCGCGCTTTTCCTTCCTTTCTCATCTTTTTCTTTTCCCATCTCTAGTAAGATTTTCTATGAATTTCTTTAATAAAGTTTTAAAAGAGGCTCTTATTCTTTCCCTACCCACTGACACCCTTTCCCCACAAAAGGATCATCCTGTCTCTACCTCCAAAGTATCTGGGACTGCAGGGACGGACTGCCAGGTCCAGCTTCTATGGTACACTTTACAACTAATGTTATTTTAAAGTCAAAGAATGTGGAGATGAGATAATCATTGGAGCTGGGCGAGGTGCTCCATGCCTGTAACCTCAGTACTGTGGGAGGCTGAGGAGGGAGGGTCACGAGTTTGAGTTCAGCCTGGGCAACTTGTAAATCCAAGAACCTCTCACAAAATTGAATAAATAAACAAACAAACATTAAAGGGCTAACGAATGTAGCTCAGTGCCAAGGCCCTAGTCCTGTGCAAGGCAAAAAAAGTGGCTGTGAAGATCCAATTCTTTGGTAGTCACAGTCCATCAGCTATCTGAGTTTTAAAGAACTCAATAGGTTTCACTTTGATACAGTGAACACCACAAGTCAGGCGATGTCCTTTCCAGGGGACCTTACAAAGCTCTCTTCCTATGGTCAGAGCAAACCATGGGACAAAGGGGACGAGGTGGGGCAGAGTCCTTGCCTCCCATGTGCGTGGGCCTGGGCTCATCCCAAGCACCACAAAAAGGAAACAAAACCAAACAGTGGTAAAAGAACACTTTCCTGATGCTCAAGTCCCAGTTTGCTTGTCTTTGATGCCACCAGACAGACGCCACCACCCTCCTGATCTGGAGTATTCGGACTATCCCTTGAGTGTTCTGCATCATTTTCTAATTTTTAGTAAGCCCCAGAGCTTAATTCATCTTTGATGCTGCCTAATGTGCAATACTCCCCTGTTCCCTATCAGTCATCAAATGGTCCTGGTTCACCTGAAAGTTAAATACTAGGTGGGCACATCATTTGCAGAGCTCCAGCCAAGCCCAAGCCAAAAGCACCTCCCTACGCAGTTGCTTGGGAACAAGAGAAATTCATTATGCAAATTTAAGACATTCAGAACTAGTCAGTCTTGGGGCACGGATGTAGCTAGCAGTGCAGGGCCTGCCTGAACAGCAAGTGCAAGGCCGGAGTTCAATTCCTGGTACCAAAAAAGCAAATAGAAGAAGAAAAAAAAGGTCCAAAGGAGATAAAGTGCTTGCTCTGGGACTTCAAACCACTCCCGTCAGGGCGGTGTCCCCCACCGAAGCCGGGGCAGCAGTCTTCCCCTGCCAGCAGGCCTCCCCTGTGACACAGCAGAGCTGAGAGCCTGCACCCGTCACAGACTGCTGAGGCGTAGCCATCAGGCTCCCTCATCAAAACAGTGGAGCAGCAGGGGCTTCTAGACAGCAAGTGACCTGGCCAAGCCCATCAGCCAGGCCTCCTTGGTCAGGAAACGGATGAGGAGCTCAGGCACCATCCCACCCTGTCTGCGTTTACAAATTGCAGCATGAGTTAGAAGATGGAGTGAGTCCTAACTCCCAATGTGTCCTCCACCTGACATTTTGGGGTTCTACTCAATCAGAGGGCAATGGCAACAAATACTGCAAAAATAAATTTTTAATACTATTATAACTGTAATTTAATCTATATATCTTTATAGTGCCTTTGTAAAAATTCTTTCCATCACCTTCAGATTCAAACAAAGAATTATAGATTATACAGTCTTTGCAAGAGGGGCTTAAAACATTGTTTATTATTTAGTAACATTTTTGTGTTCAATGTGAACAAACTTCATAGATTTGTATTTGCATTTTCTTCTGACACTGCAAACAGCAGCGCTATGCCCATTTTTCAGACAAGAGAGGCCAAAGTAGTAAGACTGAGAAAGATTTGAGGATGAAAAAGCCTGCAGTGAGAGCTGGTAACAGCCTAGGAGGAACAACTCCCAGTCTCAGAGGCAGAGGAGGGGTCTACAAACCAGCAAATGCCACCTGCCTATTACTGAGCTGAGGAAGGGGCACCACCTCTGAAAGCCACTGAATTTAAGTCCAGTGTGGCACTTACAGAAAGTGGCATCAAAGGATGGAGCATAAATCTTCCTTATTTTCAAGTCACTGGACTTTTAGGAGCAGAGATATTGATGCACTCTGTCCCTCCTCTTCCTTTTCCTTGTACCGAATGTATGATTCATGGATTGTCCTTTAGTGGTCACCATTTTCATCTTATTACTTTTTCTTTGCTTCTGCTTTCTGACAGCTCTGAAAAACAAGGTGCTAAATTATTTTCTAGAATGAGCACAGTGAATTATGTAATTATGCTGAAGTTTAATTAACTAGCTAGCCAAATAAGAAAATAGAAGGGAAAGAATTTACTGTACCGTAAGCATAAATCCTCAGTATCCTAACCATAACAACAAGGAAACAGAGGCCTGACTAAGCAAAATGCTTGAGAAAGGACATTTCTATGAAAGATGGTTGCTATGGGTTTAGAACAAAGTATTCAGGACAAACACACCACAGAGGTAAGCAGCCACACCAGTGGGTTTGTTTTGGGATGCATTTTTGGGGGGGTGACGTGGAGGGAGGATTCTATATTGCTTAGTTAGGTACATCCATCTCCAAACCAAAAATCACATCTTTTAGGGCAAAAATAATACATTTGACAGCAAAGGTTGCAAAATGCAATAGCAGAACAGAAAAAGGCAACCACATTTGAAAGGACCCAGTTTTGTAAGCCTTCCAGTTAATTTTCCTTTTCTCCTATGGATCAGAAAGTCCTGGCAGGTGTCACACAGGATGTCCATCTTTTGTGGTCCTCAGTTTCTTGTGGTCGCTGGTTCAGAACGAACAGGCTGAAACTCCTAGCCCCCTAAAATCACCACACCCTCTCAGATTCCCTTTTCCGGTGTCCACTGCACTAAGTTCCAGACTGCCTATCCTGGGAAAGATACTGCTCTGCTCATTCAGGGGCCCCAGCCAGGCGGGCCTGTCACTGATCCTAACAAGAACCAAAGAGTGGGCCAGCACACGCGGGCACCTCTCTGGTCCCCCAGGGTCACCCTGCATGAGCAACAAGCTCTGCCTTCCTGTTCTTTCCAGGACAGAAGCTGGGAGCAGAGCTTCCTAACAGCATGTGATCCTCTCCGGCCAGACACAGGCCTCACTTCCGGTTCACTTGACACCATGTGTGACGCCTTGGGACGTCAAGGAGGTGCATCTCTGAGCAACATGCTCCCTACCAACTACCCTTGGTTAAGAAAGTGAGGCTCGTGTAGTACCCAGGAAGAAAGTGGCCAGGCCAGCCTGATTCCAGGACCTACACTTTTAGTTACCCTGATGCTATATGTACTAGAGTGTAAGCTCTTCAGGTATGCAAAATGCCAACTATACAGTAGTCATTCAATAAATACTGGCTATTACTAGTAGTTTCATGTAATCATTGTGAAGAACTTTGACAACTTTACATTTTTCTCTTCTTAGAAGACTTACATTGTGGACTGAGACACCTTGTAAAATAAAACTATTCTCTTTATATTGTGTTGTGCTTTCTATGTAAATCGCTTCCTTCCCCAACTGTTTTACTAAAGTAGGATAATTTCCATGATAAATAATGACTTAGCAAATTTAATGAAGTAAAGTATAATCTCTAATAGGAAAGTCAATGAAGCCATGTATCCCTGTATACAAAATTTAAATTTTGTTTCAGTTCGTCCACTTATAAGCAGGACTAAGAATGAGAGAGATTTCACTAGGGGATACAGTCAACAAAAAAACAGAAAGAAAAAATTTTCCAGACATAAATTCTTCAAACTCTGATGAACTGATTGAGTACGAGTCATTAACTGTTTTATTTTGCCTTACAATTAAATTGACCTAGTGTTTGTCCTCTAGAGGGAGGATTTATGTAACTAGTAAAACGAGCTTTCACCACAAGAGGGAGCCAACACCATTCTAGTTCACAGCTAAAGGAAAATTACAGTAAACAAAACCCAAAATACAAGACAGCTATAAAAAGCAGGAAACGGAACCATCTTTCCTATTACATATGACAAAAGGCTATTAAAATTATTTTTTACTATTATAAGAAAAATGGATAGGCATGGTGGGATACTCCTATAATCCCAGCGTTTAGGAGGCTGAGGCAGGAAGATTATCACAAAATTGAGGCCAGCCTATGCTACAAAGTGAGTTCTAGGCTGGCCTGAACTGCACAGCAAAAAATCTTTCCCAAAGATAAAAAACAAATAGCAAGATTTTAAGAAAAAAAAATTTGCTTTATCAATCAATTTCATTATATGTTTTTCAAAGCACTGTTAAGAATTTGGGATTCTTGGGGCCAGGGACATGGCTCAGTGAAATAAGCGCTTCCCTGACAAGCGTAAGGGCCTAAGTTCAATCCCCGGTTCTGCCAAAAAAAAAAAAAAAGAAGAATTTAGGATTCTCTGGAGAGGAAAGAGTAATACTACTTACATTATTAAGTATATGCTGTTATCATTTGTGTCTGCTTGTCCTCCCAAAACTTCACATAAGTCATGGGGCAGACTTACTTCTAAAGTGTGACTAACTCATGATCCACTGGGATTATGGGCCTGAGTACTACTGGGATTATGGGTGTGAGTGCTACATCCAGTTTAGGGTGGATAACCTGAATGTAATATAAAGGAGACAGAGAAACAGACTTGCTCTCGCCATTGTTGCTGCCACTCTTCCCTTTTGCTCTTGCTGTTTTGCTGCCCTCTGCCATGTGTCACTGCCTTACAGCCAGCTGAGTATGGACTGAAACCTCCAGTAACTCTGAGCTACATAAACCTTTCCTTTCTTCATGTTGGGTATCAGGTATTTGTCCCAGCAATGAGAGAAGAGTAACTGAAACAACCACATTTTATTAATTGTCTACTAGAATTAAAATTGGTAGAACCTGAGCCAGGTGTGACAACACATGCCTATAATCCCAGTATTTCTGAGGCTGAGGAAGATCTATAATTTGAAACCATCCTGCAGTATATAGCCAGACCCTATCTCAAAAAGCAAGAAAAAAACCTGATCAAATCTAATACTGAAAGACATTTCCTCTAAAGAAAACAATATGGCACCTTCAAACATACTAGCTACTTAAAAAGCAGTAAGGGGCTTGGAGGTTAGCTCAGCTGTTTAAGCGCCTGCTCTGGCAAACCCCGTCAGGCACAGGGGACCCCAGTTCGATCCCAAGCTCTACCTGCCTTACCAGACCTGCCCTTAAGGCAGCCTGAGCCAGCTTTTAAAAAAAAAAAAAAATCCTTTTTAACTTAAGGGCAGGCCAAATACCTCAGCGGATTAAAGCGCCTGCAAGCAGGTGAGGGGCAGGCACAGGCACTGAGACAGCAATTGAGACTGGGCGTGGTAGCACGTGCCTATAATCCCAGCCCTGGGGAGGCTGTAAACAGGAGGATCACTACTAGTCGATCTAGTAGTGAGATCCTCAACACCCAGTAAACCCTTCCCTAAAATACAAAAGATCCACAGAACTGAAGGCTGAGCATTCAGTTACTAACCTGTTTCCACTCAAAATGACACTGTAAATGACAACAATCCTAGACCAGTAAATCTGTTAGGTAGTATTCTATTTTTGAAAGCCTCTAAGGAGTATTCATGAGCTTTTTCTTTCTTTTTTCATTTCTTTTTTTTGTGCAGAGTCTCACTACACAGCTAGAACAAATAGTGATCCTCCTGTTTTCAGCCTCCCCAGGGCTGGGATTAGCGGGGCACATGCCATCACATCCAGATTCAGCCACTGAGCTCAGGCCGGCCAGCACAAGCTTTTTCATTTGTTCACAATTCAACTTTACCCTGGATTACTTAGTGTAAACAATTTACTTAAGGAACAGTTTAGTAGAAGGTGCAATGCAAGTGGTTGGACTTTAATGAAAAAATATTTTCCACTGTCCAAAAAAATAAAAATAAATGAAAGTAATTATAAAAAGTAGGGCCAGCCAAATAGCTCAGCAGACTAAAGTGCCTGCTTAGGCAGACGCAGTGGCTGGGTTCCATCCCTGGAGCTGGCCCCGCCCCCCAGGGGTGCTGAGATAAATGATTGAGACTGGGTGTGGTGGTGCACACCTGTAATCCTAGCTGTTGGAAGGCTGAAAATAGGAGGATCACTACGAGTCTCATCTAGTAGTGAGACCCTGTAGACCTTGTACTAAAATACAAAAAAAATAAAATAAAATAAAATAAAAAATAAAAATAAATTTTTAAAAAGTTACTAACACATCACAGACTTTAATCTTAACCTAATTTTTAAAATTACAAATCACATGATGGCTCAATACTTTTATCCTAATCTCAATTTCCATGGAATAGTAAATCTGGCTGTCTGGTAATCTGCAAATAATCCCTTCCCCACCTACATGAATGATAAGTACAGGGAAAGCAACCATTCCCTTAGCAAGTCTCAGTTCTCTGAGTGCCACATACTTTTTAGATCAAGCCATACAAAGCATACAAAAAAAGGTCGTTTTAGAGCAAATGAAAGAATGTGACTAACTTGTTGGCTTTCTTCGAGGTGCTGATGTTAGGGCAAGAACGGCGTTTGTGATCCAGTTCACCACAAATAAAGCAGCCGTCTTTAGGGCCCTCACATGAATGATATGCGACAGCACAGTGATTGCAAAAGCTACAGTGGATCCAGGCTGTAAAACAAAAATTAGGGTTTATTAGTTCATTTAATACCATTTTTCCTTTTACTAACTTTTAAGGTAGATCGCCAGAATCATGTTCACTCTAAACACTGTTTGCCAGGTGCGGTGGGGCATGCCTATAGTCCCAGCACTCAAGAGGCTAAGGCAGGAGGATCACTGAGAGTTTGAGGCCAGCCTGGACTGCACAGGAGACCCTGTCTCAACAAAACAAAACAAAACAAAACAAAACAAAACAAAACAAAACAAAACAAAACCCAACCCCCCAAAAACAAAACTCCAAAACCAAAAACACTGTGGCTGGCTTACATAGCTAGTTTTAATTTTGCTACAAAGACAGAAATCAGGGGGCCAGCCCATTAGTTCTGGTGTTTAAGTGCCTGCTGAAACAAACCAGTCAGGCTTAGGATGCTGTGGTTTGATCCCTTCATCCTCCAGCCAAACCAGACCTGCCCTGAAGGCAACCTGAGTGTTTCCCCACCAAAAAAAATCAAGAAGTTGGAATCCCATGTAAACCAACTAACTTCATTCAGTTACAAGGCAACAAATTCAGCCCTCTCTTCCCCACAAAATCACAAGTTGACAGTCACTGTCACAATGGAGGCTGGCAGGGCGGCACAATGTCCTGTTAAGATAGTCAAGGAAGAAGTCACACTGACACAGGTCAGCAGGCATTCTCTTTATGAAAGTCGGAAGGACCATGCAGGTAAATACGAAAACTAGGAAGCAGACAGTTATCAAGGCTACACATTAATTATTTTTCCTTTATAAAAGTAAGTAAGTAAAAAAAAATCCTACTCAGATGAAGGAAAAACATCAAACATGTTTCCATGGGATCTTAACTCTCCATACTTACAAGGCTTTACACACTTTTTGCAGAGAAAGCAGTGCTTCCACTTCCTGCCATCCTACAAAAATAATTTTAAATTATGTTTAATTTGTTATTAAAAATCAAGTTCCACAATTAAAAATTAAAATGTCTTATTAAAATCTGTGTAAATTATTCATTCTTATTTCTCCCTTTCCTGGCTTCACAATTAAATACTTTGATTTTAATTTATGCCTTTCTCCACTCAACTCAAATGCCTCCTTGATGGGCCTCAATTGCTGTAACTGTGAAATGAGGAGACTTATCTAAATGATCTTGAAAATCCACTCCAGTTCAAGCAATCCAATACACACAAAAGACTCAAATGAAAATTTCAAGGGAGTTAATGATTCAGAATTTTATGTCTATACTACACAATCCTTCATGAAATTTGAGTTTTGAGAGCTTCATGTAATTTAGAAAGATAGATTATGGTTACTACTTGAGTCATTTCAAAACTCAAATAAACATCTAGAGGAGCACGAAGAACACAGGCCATAGGACTGGGCGTTTCAAAGACACACTGAGGAAGTCACCAGAAGAAAACAGACAAACCACCAGCCCTGGAAAGTCCCCTTCCCGGCATCCCTTTGTACTGCCTGACACCTATTCGGGTTTCTGCATCAGACTTTCCCTGCTTATTTATATATCTCCAAATAATAAAGTTTTGTTTTCTTCAATTTTATATATAACACATTCTGGGCATAATACAGATTAACTCCAAACTAAATGAAAGCATATAATTGGAAGTGTTACCAGAGTTAAAAACAAACACAAACAGTAAAACTATATAATCATGAAAAATGTACTTTCTAATATTTACATAAATGTGGCCTTTTCTCTGGAGAATAAATTATGTGTAAAAGCAAAACTAAACTCCACATATGATCTCTTACTGGATTTTGTCAAAATAAACAAAGCCCCATAAGGGTCATCCTGCCTTCCTGAAAACTGAGTAAGAGCCTTATTTGTAACTGCTCAAACTCGGAACCAACAAGATAAACCCTGCACTAGGGGGCTGAGGAGATGGCTCAGTAGAATAAGCGCTTCCCTGGCAAGAGCAAAGGCCCGAGTTCAATCCTCCGTTCTGCCAAAAAAAAAAAAAAAAAAAAAGACACAATGCACTAGGTGAATGGCTAAGCAGTGAACGTCCTAATTACAATGGGTACACCAACCACATGATGCTCTGAAAAATGCAAACGCTACAGAGACAAGAAAAAGCTCAGTATTTGCTAGAGGGCAGGAGGCAGGAAGGAAGAGGCAGGGCAGATTTTGAGACACTACAAAGGGTACTGCCTATAACAGTGGATAAAGGCGCTCGCAGTCACCCCAGGCTCACAAATGTGCATCACCCAGAGTGGGCCTGAATGCGAGCCAGGGACTCGGCAACGCGCCTGTGGAGTCAACCAGAATGACTGCAGCGTCTAGCGCAGTGCTCACGCATGGCGACTAGGCAGGGGGAGGTGGGAAGCTCTGTACCTACCCCTCAACTTTGCTGTGAACCCAAAAGTTTTTTTTCTTTTTTTTTTTTTTTTTAATTAAGGGTCTCACTTATGTAGCTCAGGCTGGCCGTCAATTTGTGCCATTTTCCTACCTCAGTTTCCTGAGTGCTGGGATTAGAGGCGTGTGCCACTGCACCCAGCTAAAACCGTTTTTATTTTTGTGGTATTAAGAATGAAAATGAGGACCTTGCATTTGCCAGGCAGGTGCTGTGCCACTGAGCTATATCCCCAGCCCCTAGAACTGTTTTTATTTATTTATTTGTGTGTGTGTGTGTGTGGCCAGCTCAGCCCACCAGGGGACAGGGCTGGCTGGCATGTGGTGCTGGGGGATTGAACCGCGGTCCCTGTGCTTTGCTAAGCTTCTTCTAAGTAGGTGCTTTAGACCACTGAGCCATCTCACCAGCCCCCTAGAACTGTTTTTAAAAATAATTTTACAACAATACAGCTAAGTAAGGGAATTGCTCTGTCCCATAAGAGTCCTTCTCCTCACGTGAAACGGAAGGGAGTAGCTGCACCTGCCTCGCAGGGCTAGCGTGAGGAGCTAGTCCACGTACAACTCTCAGGAAAGGGCCTGGCACCCAAAAAACACATGGCACATGTTATTAATTTTTATTTCACTAGAACAGTGATGATATCTAATAGTTCAATGCCTTATTTAAAACGCCATAATTTTGCCCTCAATAGGGGTATAAATTTAGCACTCATTTAGTGCCTTATTTGAAACACTCCTAATTTTAGCAGTCACAGAGCACCACATGAAAACAAATTCAAGGAACTGTTGATGATGATGAAGGAAGTGCTTTAACAGCCTGCTGCACTCTATAATTAGAAATAAAGTACTATTATATTAAGGCATAATTAATGATGGTGATACATATTAACACAAACTGTAATAGTAAGAAAATTTTAAAAGAGTAAGACTAGAAGACTAAATTATAACTAATATACTTAAATAAAAAAAACAGTAGGCAAGAAAGCTCTACCTTGGATGTGCAAGAATTACAGTGCTCACAGTGTTGATTTTCAAGAGAAACATATCGTTGACACAGAGGGCAAAATCTAGAGGAAAGACAGCAAGATCAGCAGCATATACAGTATTTATTGAGTCTAGAAGTGCAGATAAGTTTACAAGACAGTTGCTCCAAAAGGTAGATGTAACTGGAATTCAATTCAATACGAAATTACAGAAAAACACTAAAAGAACTACATGGTTCACTATAGAAAGCACGTTATAGTTAGGTGATGGAACTGTATGACTGGGTCACTTATGAATTTCAAGTCCTAGTACAATCTCACCTGTATCCTTCTTCAGTAGGAAGGGTTATTTTGTTGGGTGGAATGTTGGTAAATATACGCACAGGAGACTGTTTACGACCTGTCCTTCCATGTTTATAAAGTGCATGGTTATCATAATCTACCTAGAAATTTAAAAACAAAAGTAAAATTTACTCAAGCCATTCACTACATACCTTTAACCAATAAATGAATGCAATGGCTCCTGCTGAGAAGCTCGAGAGCTGCCTCGGACACTCGTGAAGCACATTTCTGGATGTGTCTGAGTCACTACCCAGGGGCGACTGCAGGGACGGTATCTGGTCCCTGTCCTCTCTGGCTTTTCCTAGCTTACCCACTCCCTGGCCACCTTCAGGTTAGCAGCTTTCCTCTGTTGCACTCATCCAAGATGTTTCTGCCAGGTGACCACGGACTGAACTTAACTGTGAGCCAAAATAAATCTTTCCCGCCTGAGGAGATAGCTCAGTAGAATAAGTACTTGCCTGACAAGTGTAGGGTCCTGAATTCAATCCCCAGTACCGCAAATAAATAAATAAATAAATAAATAAATAAACAAATAAATAAATCTTTCTCTTTTTTTCCAGTACAGGGAACTAAACTCAGGACCCTGCACTTGCCAGGCAAGCACTTATTCTGAGCTATCTCCGCAGCCCCTCTTTTTTGTTTTGTTTGGGGTGTGTGTGTCTGTGTGTTACTGGGACTAAACTCAGGGCCTTGTGCATGTTAGGCAAGCACTCTACCACTGAGCTTATATTCCCAGCCCTCTCTTCTCCTTTAAGTTGTCCATGTCAGGAATTCTGTCCTAGCAACGAAAAGTGACTGATACAATAAACAAGCTGATGCCAAGATATAGGTTAAATCAAAGGATTTAATAATAAAATCTTAAAATCAAGAGTTTTCTTACAAACAGCCTCAGAGAGGCTTCTATGGCAATGAAATGTCATTATAAGAAAAATACAAGCTATGATAAATTTGGGATATCTGCTATTGAGGGAATAACTCTAATCTTCCATCTAATACAGCTGACTTTATGAGGTACTCTATTATATAGGTAAGAAGTTAGATATTAGGCCAGGCACGATGGTGGATGCCAGTAATCCTAGCTACTCAGGAGGCTGAGACTGGCCTGTTCGAAGTCAGCCTAAGTGATTTAATGATATCTCTCACTATAAAATAAAAAGGGTAAGAATGTACCTTATAGTGTGATAGAAACAGCATGGTACTGGCAAAAAAAAAAAAAGACCCTAGGATCAATGGCACAGATTAGAAGATGCAGAAACAACTCCAAACACACCTAGCCACCTGATCTTTGACAAAGGAGCCCAACACATTCCCTGGAAAGAAGGCAGCCTCTCTGATAAATGGTGCTAGAAATACTGACTTTCTGTATGCCAAAGACTAGACCCAGGCACAAAAGTCAAAATGGACTAAAGACCTAAATATTAAAGTGGAAGCACTAAGTCTACTGGAAAATAGGTAGAATTCTAAAGACACTGGTGTAGGCAAAGACTTCATGAACAAAACCCCAATTACACAGAACTAGCTCGAAGAATCAACAACTGGGACTTCAACGTATTAAAAGGTTTTGGAAAGCAAAAGAAACTGCCCAAATTGGAGAGAGAACAGTGTAGGAAATAATCTTAGCCAGCTGTTTCCCATTTAAAGAATTATCTAGAATATAAAAAAAATTTTTTTTAATTTGACCACTCCAAAATTTAAAGACCCATGGGCATCTGAGATGAATACACACTTCTCAGATGAAGAAATACAAAGGCCAATACATGAAAAAAGTTCAACATCACTGGTCCTTTGAGAGACACAAATTCAAATGACACTGAGATTCCACCTTATTCCAGAAAGAATGAATATTACCAAGAAATAAATCAGTAACAAATGCTGAAGGAGCTGTTTAAGGGAACAAGGAATCCTTCTCCACTACTGGTGGGAGTGTAGACTGGTGCAATCACTGTGGAAATCAGTCTGGAGATTCTTCAGAAAACTAGGACCAGAGATTCCATTTGACCCAGCTATTCCCCTTCTAGTGATTTCCCCTAAAGAATTAAACGTATCATACCACAGTGATACATGCATCCCCATGTTTATAGCAGTAGTTTGTAGTAGCTAAACCTTGGAAACAATCCAATGTCCATCAACCGATGAGTGGATAAGAAACTGATGCGTAGATAAACACACACACACACACACACACACACACACACACACACACACAGTGGAGTACTACTCAGCCATGAAGGATACAGTAGGGTCATTTGTAGCTGAGTGGATGAACCTAGAGACCATACTCTTTAAGGGAAATAAATCAGACAAGCATGTGTACATATCACATCATCTCTCTTGCATAAGAAACTGAAACTGTAAATAAGGGCAAAATGTATAACAGAAAATGTGAGATAGGAAGAAACTATTCAAAAGGAAAAGAGGAACTCTAGGGATAGAGGTGGAGGAAAGGAAGGAAGGGAAAAGAAAAAAATGAGGAAAGATAAAATGGAAACAAAGCTTTATAAATAAGGAAAGAAAAAAGGAAGGGAGATGAATGGGAAAAAAAGAGGCACAAGGAAATATCACGCACAGATACAAATTTTCTATGATGAATGTGATCAATAGATGTATCTAAATTGTACCAATAAGTTTATTTTAAAAAAGGAATATAGCTCAGTGGGAGAGTGCCCTTGGGTTCAATCCCCAGTACCATTTCCATCACTATAAAAAAATAAAAAAGAATTTAGGTGTTATCAGCATTAAAAACCTGGATGTGGAACACACACACACAATCCCAACATGCAAGATGCTGAGGCAGGATAACTGCCATGAATTTGAGGCAAGCCTGAGCTATATAGTGAGTTCAAGGCTTACTGAACTACAGAGTAAGACCCTGTCTTAAAAAAAAAAAAAAAAAACCCAAAGACACTGTGTGTGTGTGTGTGTGTGTGTGTGTGTGTGTGTATGTGTGTGAAGTGTGCTGAGTGCCAGCCTTCAGCTCACTGAGCCTAAGCATAGCTCAGGCTGGCTGTCCACTATCTTCTCTCTCATACAGCTGGAACACAGGTTTGAGGCCAGACTGTGGTCCTGCCTCTTACTTGTTATGGGCCCTTATGCAAGTTTGCATGTTTCCCTCCTGTAAGAAGAGTCTGCTGACGTGGACTCCCAGCTTAGCTGCTGGGAAGGCTAACAAGAATTATGCATGTAAATCACTGAATCCAGAGCCTGGGATCTGGTGGAAAGATGAGATGCAGAGCACGCACACTGCAGCTGCTCTGTCATGACTACTCCAACTCATCTCCTCAAGATCCCTTCTTCATCATTTCAGCAGAGTATCTTCAAAGTACACTGAAGCTCACAGCCAGGTCTCTATCAGCATGTTGCTCTCCTCCTCCCCCGCTGCCCACACACATCTCGGTTTGGCTTTGGCTTTGATAGGAGCCCACCTGGTCACTAACTCTGTCCTTAGATCAATAATTCCCCAGATGGGCTGGCAACACCATCTCACCTGGGATCTGTAAGAAATGCAAATTCTCCACCACTGGCAGAGGGCCTAAACAACCAGAAACCCTGGGAGCAGGCCCAGCAGTGTGTTAACAAGGCCTCCTGGCACTAACACTTGAGAACCAATACTTTAGAGCATCCACAAGAATAGCAGGAGCCATGTGTGGACTCAATACAGGGAAATCTCAACTTTTTCATAAGGTGGGATGACACAGCTTGATTCTGAGCAAGAATTCACCTAGGAGCTTAAAACACCACAAGCCTGCAAGCTGGCTATCTAATAAGTGAATCACAAAAAAAATGTAAGGGTCTGGCGACTAAGAAAGAGAGGACTTGGTCTCTCCAAGCCCCACAAGCGCTCACTGCCAGAGGGGACAGTGTGCTGAGTCCCAGGGGATTCTGAAGGGCTGCACAATAAGTGCATAGCCCAGCTCCAGTGTAGAAGCTGCAAGCTCCCAGGCAGCCTCTATCCAAGTGTCTCAGCCAGGAGAGCTCCTGCCAGACCATATCTGCACCCTGAGTTCAGTCACAATTTAAGAGAGACACTGATAAAACCAGCTCATCTCTACCAGAAATAATGGGAACGAATGGGATTTCCAGTTGAACAAATTGGGGGTGTTTATTCAGAAAAGAGAAGACTGGGAGGAGCTGACAGCTATTTTATAACTGAAGGGGTGTCAAATGGAATAGAACTTAGACTTATCCTTTATTGCTTCAAAGAACAGAACTAGGACCAGTGGGTAGAAGTTAATGGGGAGCATATTTTATCTCAATATGAGAAAATTTTCTAACGATTAGAGCTATTAAATAAATTGAGTTGCCTTGTAAGGCTGTAGGACTCTGCTCACTGAAGGCATTCAAGTAAAGCAAGATGACGGCTTGTCATGAATTTATCGGAGAGGGTTATTACCCTGGGAAGTCAGCCCAGGTTACCTCTGTTCCTTCCTAACTTTCAGAATTCTATGAATATATGTTACCTATTAAAGACTAATAGACAAAAATAGATTTTACTTCAAAATCATCTTAAAATAGTACCTGAAGTAGTTTTCTTTTAAAATGATTTAAATTTCTAATTTTTTGCTAATGCACTCCTTTGTGTACTCAAATAACTACATGGACCCTTATTAAATTCAACGAAGATTCTGAACACAAATTTATGAGTATCATAAGGAAAACAATTTTCCCATGAGATTCTTACAAAGATTTTCATATGCTGGAAAATAATATTGTAGAAAGATTTCTAATACATGGAATATTCTATGCAATATAATAGATAGCAGATGGAAGAGGGGAGGAGAACAATTGCTTTATGGTTACCCAAGGAGTCAAAGAATGTTATATGTCAGGAAGGTGGTTGATTGCTTGATTTTGCATAACCTAATTGAGATTATTATTATTTTTAAATGTGGGTTTGTTGTGCTAATTAACTATAAACATATGGTATGTAAAATGCATGCTGCTCGAGTAAATTAATGTACCTCTAACATACATCCATATTTCATAGCTTCATCCACACAAATAAACCTCCTGTGGAAGTGCTGTAAAGCAAACACAATTTTGCAAATTGCATATCACTGGTGGTAGAGCTGATACACCATTTCCCCATCATTATCCCTGACAT